CGGCCCCAGGCCTCGCCCCGACCCCAGGCCCGAGCTCAGCGCCGCGGGCAGGGGCGGGGAGGAAGGCCGCACCACGCCTCTGACGTCACTGGAGGGACTGCGCATGCGCCAGCTCTCGAGAGCCATCCGGTGCGTCAGCCAGCTCGCGCGGGAGTACGGCGCGGAGGCTCCTGGGGGCCCGCCAGTCGCCAGGAACGGAAGCCGCTGCGGGACGTAGAGGAAGCCAGGATGGCGACTCCCAGCCGGAAGACGACAACCCCCAGCCCCCTGGCTTCCAAGAGGCCGCTCTCGACAGACCTTTCTTCGGAGATCCCGAGCAAGAGGAAGAACTCGACCCCGCCGTTGTCGCTGCTGCCGTCATCCGGGTCTTTCGTGGAGGGCTCCATCGTCCGCATCGCCATGGAGAACTTCCTGTGAGTGGTGCCCGGGCCGCTGCGGGCTGCGGGGCCGGGGAGACGCGCGGGGCGCCCGACGGGGGTGGGCGTGGGGCTCGGGCACCTCCGCCGAGGCCTGGGCAGCTGGAGCACGTTGGTTGCTTGTGTGACTCGACTTACCCCAAACTCGGTTCGGCCAAACCGTTTCGAAGGCCGCCCTGTGCCCGACGGAGAGAGTGTGTCCGGGTCAGGTCCAGCGGAGTCCGCAAGTAGGGCCCTGAGACAGGTGGACAGTTGGAGACAGTGGTGATGGCTACGGGGCGGCGCCACCGAGTGAAACCTTACCCCTCCCGACAGACCCCGGAACCCTACAAAGCCAGCCTTCCCCCCCCCCCCGGCCCCTTCTCTCCTTCTGTGGAACCAGTTGTCATCGTAGAATCTAAGTGTCATAGTAGCTCTCTAGCGCCAGAAAACCTTTTTTTCTCTTCTTCAAGGTCTGTTAAAGTAAGTTTGTATCAAAGTTGAATTCTAGTAGCACTACTGATAGATATATATTTTTTTTCAGACATCTTAATCAGTTGCCAAGTACAGAACGAGATGTTTTACTTGTGCATTACTCCATTTCTTCCTAACTCGATCTTATCTCCATTTATGAGATAAGCACACAGCTGTTCATTCAAACTCCCCCCTCCCTCCCCATTTACATAGCTAATCAATAACCACCTTGCTGTTTGAATCCAGATCACAAAACCTGAATGTAGTCAAGTGATATATTAATATGACGATATAACATAATGATATAACTATATATTTATCAGAGTTCCCTGTGGGCCATACCGAAAGAAGTGGTTAATTTCATCCACAACTAGGAAGAAGACTTGGTAAGGAAGCACTGTAGACAGAAGCGGCCTGGAAGTTTGGAATATTTAGAAATTGTTATGTAGTTCCGTATGACTTGAACTTAGCATGTGAGTGGATAGGTGGACAGAGGCAGCAACCATTGAGTTGCTCTGTGTTTACTATATTGAGAAATAACTTCATCCTGTAGAGTCACAATGTGTGATTTATGTTAGCCTGGAAGTAGTGTTGAAGATTATTTAAAAGAGACTCAAGGCAGTAAGATTTAAAATACAGTGGGGGGAAAATAGAGTTTGAAAATAGGAGCCAAAGGAGAGGTTTGAAAGGATTTAGCTACAGAGTAATTATACAGTTTACGGGGAAAGATGGAGTGTGATATCTTCCCAAGTCTCACCTTGGTTAACTGGCCAGGTGCTATTCAAAAGAGAAATCCATTTGGGAAGAGTAAGTAATAAATGTCATTTAGATTCTGTGGCTTGAAGTAGAAGTGTTCTTTGAGATCTCTAAGATAGATGTTCTATAGGCAGAATTTATAGTAGGAGTATGAACTAATCAGATTTTGCCTGTGTATGTATGTATATATTATAGATAGATGATTGTTGAAGGTGCAGAAATGGTTGAGTTTGCCCCACAGGAACTGCAAGTTGGAAGAATAGAAGGCCTTGCTGTAGTAAGGGTGAGGGAAGAAGAATTTGAGAAGGGACTGTAAGATGAGAACCATGGGAGACTATTAGAGAAGCTAAGGAAAAGAATACTTAAATAATATTTGCACCGGGCACTGGTGGCTCACGCCTGTAATCCTAGCTATTCCGGAGGCTGAGATCTGAGGATCACAGTTCAAAGCCAGCCCTGGCAGGAAAGTCCGTGAGACTGTTATCTCCAATAAACCACCAGAAAAAAACAGAAGTGGTCCTGTGGTACAAGTGGTAGAGCTCTTGCCTTGAGCTGAAGAGCTGAGGGACGAGCCCAGGCTCACAGTTCAAGTCCCACGACCGACAAAAAAAAAAATATTGTTTGCTACATTGAAATCACTGAAAGGAGCCTGCTGAATTTAGAAAACCTTTAATCTTTTGACAAAACAATGGAAAAGAAAACTTTGCAGGAAGAATGAGTGAAGAGTAAGGAGATAAAGCTATAAAAGGGGAGAAAGAAAAGGTAACTAGTTATTGAAGAGGTATTGCACATTTAAGTCATCTGGGATTATATTCAGAAAGCTGTAGCCTGAGGTCATCTATAAGATAACTTACAAACTGTATAGAGGGAGAAGAGAATGAACCTTTGAAAATAGCTTTTTCAGGGGTAGCTCAGAGAAAGGAAACCTACCAAAAGTGGGTTTTCAATAAATACAGTATGAAGAATAAATTTTAAAAATGCAGAGGCTTTGTTTTGCTTTTCACAAGTCTGTTTATAGACTTGTAATTTTATAGACCAGTAATTTATAATTTTATAGACCAATAATTCTCATGCTTTTTCCTGTTTTTTGTTTGTTTTTGTGATGGTCCTAGGGCTTGAACCCAAGGACTGGGTGCTGGGGTTTGCTCATGGCCAGTGTTCTACCACTTGAGATACAGGTCTACTTCTGGCTGTTTGGTTGTTAATTGGTGGTAAGAGTCTCACAGACTTTCCTACCTGGGCTTGCTTCAAACTGCAATCCCCAGATATCAGCCCCTGAGTAACTATGAGATTGTAGTCATGAGCCCCTGTGCCCCAGTTTCCTTGTTGTTTTTATTGAGTACCAGTTAATTTGGCATTTGACCAGAAATCTCACAGCATGAAAGCTAAATATTAAAGAGACTTAATGTGTTGAGATTAAAAAGTTTCGTGTCAGAGAATTTGCTAAATATCTGAAGGTCCTGAACTAGTTCTAATTTAACAGTAATGTTTTTATTAAAACCTACCTGCTGGGGCTGGGAAGGTGGCTCAGTGGTAGAGTGCTTGCCTTGCATGCATGAGGCCCTGGGTTCGATTCCTTAGCACCACAAAAGCAGAAAAGGCCAGAAGTGGTGCTGTGGCTCAAGTGGTAGGGCGCTGGCCTTGAGCTGAAGAACTGAGGGACAGCGCCCAGGCCCAGAGTTCAGGTCCCACGACCAGCAAAAAAAAAAAAAAAAAACCTACCTGCTAACAGAACAAAGCATTGATTCTGTGTAGATTGGTGGAGCTAGGAAGCCAGCAAGAGAATTCTTTGCCACTTACACTAATTTTTATTACCACCTGGCTTTTCAAACTCGTTAATGTTTTAAGTGTTAAACTGAAAAACATTTGTTAAGTTATATACTTAGGAGATTAGCAAGCTAGGGATTTGTGCTTGGGAAGTATTTGTGGGTCCCATTCAGAATACTCAAAGACAAATCAGAAGAAAACCTGATTTTTTTTTTTACTCACGTTTTGTCATATGCGCCCCAAGCAACTGATAAAGATTAGATGCTATGTGGGCAGATAAAATACTTGACACCATGTAGCTGTATGGTGGGAGGAATATTACAAATGTGCTTGATGATTACGTATTCTTGCTTTTTCTCAGAGGGCTACAGATGATTTTAACGTAGACTAACATATCCATTGGTGAATCTTGCACCATGTTAAAGGAAATGATTTTTTAATGATAAGTGAAAACATGGAGTCAAAACATGCCTTCAGTTTTCTATTTAAATAATAGTTTGGAGAGATTGCTTCTAATATTAAAATATGCCAAATTGGAGGGAAAAAAGTCAAAGAATGTGCCATGGTCTCACGTATAAACAAGTTGCTTTAATTTATTTGTACAATAGCTTGATATAGTCTGCCATGTATTGTGCTCTTTTTTATTTATGTGTGTACAGATGTGTGTATGCATCAGCACTGGGTTTAAACTCAAGCCCTTATGGCTGTTGCTTGGCTTTTTTGCCAAGGCCAGCACTCTCATCACTTAAGCCACGCCTCCGGTTCCTTGTAATTATTTCCAGCGGATAAATTATGTCAAACTTTGCTTTCTTGTGGCAGTTTTATATTTTGGCCATGCTGAGATAGGACGTCAGGGCCTCAAACTTGCTATGCATCGAGCACTGTGCCATTATCCCCCTCCCCAGGCTCGGCACAGACTGTTTTTTGAAATTGCGCATGTTTGATATTCCTACTGACTTATATATACATTATCACCTTTTTTCATTTCTTCAGTTGAGAGATTTCTCCTCTACATGGGTAGTTTTTGAAAACTTACAGGGTAAGGATATAGCCTTGTGGTAAAGTGGTTGCTTAGCATGTGTAAGTACCTCTTAAGTGCCCACAAAAAAATAACCTGTAAAGTTAAATTTGTATGGTTAGCTTGTGTTTAGGTAAATTTCAGGAATGTTGTAGATGATGATAATAAAGCAAGAACTGCTTTTGTGAGAAAAATATTTTAAATAAATATTGAGTTATCTGCTTATTTATTTGTTGGTGGTAGTGGCGCATAAACTCAGGGCTTCCCAGTTGCTAGGTAGATGTTCTGCTGCTGAGCCATACCTCCAGCCCAAGAAAATATTTTTCTCCTCTTATACTTAAAGCATCTGTCTAATAATTGCCTAATAATTTCACCTCTTTATAATTCAGAACATATGATGTCTGTGAAGTATCTCCTGGACCCCACTTGAATATGATTATTGGAGCTAATGGAACAGGAAAGTCAAGCATAGTATGTGCCATTTGTCTTGGATTAGCAGGCAAACCTGCTTTCATGGGACGGGCAGATAAGGTAAGTTGATATAATTACTTCTTAAGAAAAGTCAAAGCCATTAATTGCTTTTAGAAATAAATAAATATTTCTACTTCTTTTGCTCAAAGTGAATACCACTTGAGCTACAGTGCCACTTGGCTTTTTTTGAGTAGTTTATTGGAGATAAGAGTCTTACTGAGTTTCTTGCCCGGGCTGGCTTGGAACCTCGATCCTCAGCTTCCTGGGTAGCTAGGATTACAGGTATGAGCCACAGCTCCCAGCCTACATTTTAATTCTTTAGATATAGCAAATGTGTAGTGTTTGAATGTAAGAAATAAATTTGGATGGCAGACAGGCTAGCAGGAGATTTTCCTTTCTGTATTTTGTACCATATATCTAGAGAATTTTATAAGTACCTACTGCCTGAAATGCTAGATATCATGCCATGGTTTTTGTTTTTTGGTTTTTTTTTTTTTTTATGTTACTGGGATTTGAATTCAGAGTTTGGCACTTGTTAGGCTTGCTGTACCACTCTGCCAATGCCTCCCATCCTGATTTTTACTGCTTGTTTTTGTTGTTGTTGTTTTGGGTCCGGTCATGGGGCCTGAACTCCGGGCATGGGCGCTATCCCTCAGCTCTTCAGCTCAAGGCTAGTGCTCTACCACTTGAGCCACAGCACCACTTCCGGCTTTTTTCTTTTTGCTTATGTGGTGCT